TCTAAGGAGGAACACAAGATGATTATATTTTTGACACAGAATATAGTATAGTGTTTTGTTGAGAAAGGAGAGAGAGGGAGAGGAGGAGAGGGAGATGAAGACAGAGAGAGAGAGGGAGAGACAGAGGGAGGGAGGGAGGGAGAGAGAGGGGAAAGAGGGAGAGGGAAGGAGGGAGAGAGAGATGTCGAGTGTCTTTCTTAATCAATTTCCACTTTATTTTCCGAGGCAGGATCTCTCACTGAACCTGGAGTTTCCAATTTTGCTAGTGGAACTATCCAGTTGCCCCAGGGGTTCCCCCATCTCTGCCTGATAGGTTATAGGAGGTTCCCTAAGTCCACCCAGCTTTCAGGTGGGTGCTGGGATCTGCACTTTAGTTCTCAAGTTCAGTAAGTGCTTTGCTCACTGAGCAACCCCAAGCTCCTGTGTATAGTGTTCCTTAAGGTTGATGAGTATCAAATTCCATTTAATAATTTAAATATAGGCAGTGCCTTAGCGATGGAAGACTTATCATATTAGTAATCTATTAGCAAAGTAACTAAATAAAGATAAGTCAACAGGGACAGACAAACTACACATGTAACCACCGCAGTAACACATTAGTGACAAAATCCTTTTTTATACAAACTTCTTTTTAATATTTGGATTTATGTCCAATATTAAGTGGAATATTGGAAGGACATGTGTTGCTCTGACCAAGTACTATTTATGTTTTCTCCTGCTCTTTGTTCATCTTGGCACAAGCCAAAAAGAGTCTATTACACAAAGAGTTACTGGCATGGATGTGGCTTCTATGATGTATTCAACCCCAGAGTACTCACACTACTTCACACAAAAATTCTTCCACATTTCCCTACAGACATTTTTTATCGTACTTGGCCAGACTTGTTACTCTTTATTATCCAGAGAAAAATACCAGAATTATTGGAGTCTGCCATAGGGACCCAAACTGATTGTTACCTGAAAAAAACAAACCCCACACTCATTTATTTGATTTACTGCAAGATAAATCCAACCAACCCCCTAGGTATCTCTCAGATCAGACACATGCTATAAAGTGTCTACTTATCATATTGTAGCAATGCGCTTTTATTGCTATAGGAATAAAAATAAAAACAGCCATGCTATTACATTTGATCCGTGTCCATGGGATGATTATGTTAGTGGGTGGTTGCAGTTCTGGGTTCGAGAATGACAAATCAAATTCTACAAAGTCCAGCTACATTCATGAGGAATCAAGTAAGAACTCATTTCTTCTGTCACTTTCATGAGAGAAGTGTTCTTAATGAGGCAACAATCAGTAAAGCAAATGTCAAAACCAGAAATGAAACCAGAGGAGAGGAGAGGAAGTTTGCTGAAAGATCATGAGTCTACAGCAGGTGTGCTGACCCACTTACGTTCTCCTTCCCCTTCCACGCCAGCTGTGACAAGAATACAAGACAACTGAAAGGTCCAATCCAATCACAGTCATTTTCTTTAGCAACGCAAAGGGTACTGGTAAAGGTGACTTCCTTCCTTCCTAACTCTCTGAAGGTGACCTTTCACCGGGGATAGCATGCTCTTGTTCAAAATCCATTCTGTTCTAGTCCTAACCTCAAAAGTCCCTTGACCAGCACTGCATGTCACCCCCCTCTGAAGCATTCACCACCTTTAGAAGCTACACGAATGGCCATACCCGTCAGCATTCCATTACTATGAATAGATTTTGGTTCATCCTCTCCCATTGGAATATAGATGACTTGAGGATAAATGCTCCTGTTGTGTGTAACCTAGAGAAGTCGGTGCTCAGACGGCGCCTACTTACTAAAAGCCAGCTGAATGAAAAGGACCGTGTCTTATGCCAGAAATGAATTCCAAGTATAAATATTTAAGATAGACTATAGGCATAAGAAGCCAACTGTGATTCTAATAAAGATCGTATTTGTCTCCCCCACATAGGATTATAATTTGAAGCCCACCACACACTCATAAATTTGATTGTGACTTTCGGTTTTCGAGTATCTGTATGGGCTCCTCCAGAGCAGACCCTACAAGGTTTCAACCATGGTCCAACAAAAGCAGCAGGGGTTCTAGCATTCACGGTCACCTCTGAATGTGCAGTGCCACTGCCATCGTTCTGTGGGAAAATGATGACATTCTTGCAAATGTCCATTTAGTCAAAGCACCTTTGCATAGCAGTCTTCAGGTAACATGTATGATTCAGCCCAAAGGGGGACCAAATAGTACTTACTGCTCACGTTGTAAATGTGAAATATACAGAGATTTATTGTCAGTTTCCTCCCTATGCTGAATAACCAGACAGAACAAGTCACAGATTGTCTGAATATTCACAAGATGAATTTCTGCCCTCGTTTTGGCTTAAGCCACAAAAAGGGCTTTCGTGGCTTTTTAGTACCGCGACTCTGCTCCGCCCACAAGCCCACATACATCATTTGGCTTCATTACTTTATTTTTGAAAAAGATCAGGTCTTATTAAAGATGAACTATGACACATTGTATATGACAGTGTGCTAAATGCCCCAGCATTCAGCCTACACTTTTTTCCAAATGACATTTTTTAAATTTCTAATCTTATACAACTGTATTATGATTTCATGTCTACTCAAAAATTCAAGATTATAAATGTCAACAAGGGGCAACAGTTTAACTTTTCAAGAAACACTTTTAAAGGTGAAAGGAATCTAACAGAGCTATCACTGAGGTACTAGCAAGTACTCTGTGACCCAGGAATAATATGTGGATCCAAAGAGGAGAAAATCAAGAATTCTTGACCCAGTCTCACAGTCTCAGATGCTGCAGTTTTGAATGGCACCAACTTGGCTTATTCTGAAGTCTCCAACACAGGGTCTAAGATTACTACCTCGTAACACCATTGAGAGGAAACACTGTTCCTCCCAGGGATATTCATCTAATAATCTCAGCTCGGCCATAAATGCTGTCATCCCCTCCTCCCGCACATGTCAAAGAAGTCAAGGAAATATGTCTTCAGCATGCAACCATGAAAGAAAACAGTTAATTCAGGACAACACAGAACTTCCAAAGTGTACATCCATTGCCCAGCATTACCCAAGTGCTTCTTTCCGATGGTGAGCTGCTAAATAGTCCAACTTATCATTCAAATGCTGAGGCTCAAAATCAGCAGTAATCTAAGACTACAACACTCCATGCTTATTTTAAAATATTTCAGATACTATGTAGGATGGCTTTTTGCTCAGACGGTAGCAGCAGCTTTCAGGAGCAGGTCCAAGTCTTCGCTAGACTAGCAACGCTCTTAGCACCTCTGTGTCTCAGAGAAGAAACTGAGGCAGAATGTTAGGGGTGCTCCCAGAGGCTCCTCTTCTTCTCTGTTTCACTCTCTGTTGCAGAGATGAGCATTTCCCCTCCACCACATGCTCTTGCCATGGTGCACTCTCTCTATTGAAGGCTCAAAGCCACATGACCACTTGAAATTTATTAATTCAGAGTTCAGAGGCAGCATACAGCAAAGGGTCATTTTACACAGTGTTATGGGTGCCTGTGCTAGGATCCTGGGGGTAGCTGTGAGGTCTCCCACTGTGGCACTATCTTGGTGATGAAGACTATGAGCCAAATGAACCTTTTATCTCTATTAGCTAAGTATCTCGAGCAGTGGCTTTGCTGACAGAAGGCTAACATGACATCCTTCTACTAGTTCATCCTCTCCAGGATGGCGTACTCTGTCATGGATGTACAAGTCTCTCATGTACAAGCTCCCTCTATTCCCTATCCCTCTGAAGGAGCCTAGGGTTGGCTATGTCTTATCTATAACCATCAACCATCTTCAAGACCTCTACGTACACCTTGACTTTCCTCATTGTCCTCTGGCTTACCACACAGATTCATGACACACTCCACTATCTATCTACTCTCCCCCAGGCCTGCAGAGAGGGCGTAATGGTCAGTGCTTAGAGGAGAAGAAAAATGGCATGTTTTTTCTTCCTCCTTTTAGTGTCAAGGGAAAGACTGAAGCTACCACAGCATGATAACTTCAAGAGTAAGGATCACCTGGAAGGAAGGAAAACCATGAATGACACTGCCATTTGGTGTGAGAAAACCATATCCCTTCCCCAAAATCACCCACTGCCAGTCTCAGTGAACATGTAACAAATTTACAAAGGATCCGTCCTTACTAAAATGGCTGATTCTTCACCCTTCCATTTATTCTCAGTCCCCAAACTGTCATCCTAAGTTTACAACATAAGAATTAACAAGAGACACTATGCTCCTCTACCCATAAAGTTTTGCAAAACCACTGGCTTCAATCCTGAAAGCTGACATAGTTCTCACCACATTTTAAAAGAAACAAAGTAAGAGAGGGGATGGAAGAACATAAGGTCATGGGGGGTCATGTCCATGAAGGCTGAATAAGACACTGGCCAGAACGTTAATGTGAGTCAAACCAACCACTGTAGAAATGACCTACCTGAACCTCATATTTTATAGTACTGGGGACTGAACCCAACACTAGGCAGGTGCCCTACTCGAGTCACATACTTCCCCCACATACTTGTCCATGATTTGAAACCTTCTGGAACTCTGATACTGTAACTTATTTCATAATGGACAACTGCTATAAGGAAGCTTACACCATGGAAAAGAATATTATGAACAAATATTCAAATTTTCAATAACATTCAAATATCCATTGGAAAATATTCAGATTTCCATTAACAAACATCCAAACATTCATTGACAAATATATAAACACTCAGGGCTTTTGACATATCTTGTGTTACAGTGCATTTGCTAACCCATCTCCAACAGAGGCTCCCCAAGCACACTGGTTCATTCTTGAGGTATGTGTCCAAAGCATCATCACAACATAGAAACACAGCCAAGCACTTCACTTCAGAGACCAGGCAAGGTATTCTAGATGTAGGGAATTTTAGCTTGAAAACTTCAACTACAATAGACTTCAAAGTTCTTAGTGTTTTCCTTATTTGCTCAGGATTACAAACAAAACAAAACAAAAACCAAACACTTACCAACCAGGACAACAAGCCTGTACTTCTCATGAGCCTGCCGCCGATATGGCGTCACTTCTTCGTATGTGGGCACGTCTGCTGTGTCATACTGGTCACTCTTTTTGCATTCATACATAGACTTGTTTGTTTTCTTATCTTTCCTGCTAAGACGGAAACTTCTTCTAAAACCAGCTACAAATAAAACAAAATAGACATATACCTTTAGAAACTGTTGAATGTATTTTAAACTAATTAACCCCCCAGGCCAAATATTAAACCCCTTCTATATCAACTCCCAGTATAAAATAAAATTCAAGAATCCTGTAAATGTACAAAAGTATATTTGCTTTAAAAAGAATATTGAGGGTTGGAGAGACAGTGCCTGCTGAGGCAAGTTCCACATAGGACCTGCATGGTAGCACGAGAGAACCCAGAATCTACCCGCTCAGCTGTCCTCTGACCTCTACAGGCCGGCTATGGCACGCGCACATCCACACATGACCACACACACATGAAAGAAAATACAATGCAAATTTTAAAAAAGCAATAAATTAGGTGAATACTTTGAGTTTCTCTACAAGGCACAAAAATGAAACAAGGTATGTATGGATTTGGGGGACTGCATCGGAAATGAATAATTATTTCCTTGGGTTTGAGATAGGAAAAGGAAACAGAAAGGGGACACTAAAGTAACAGCAGTCAGGGCCGGGAACCATCCTCAGTTGGATGAGTACTTGCCTGGTACGCAGGATGCTCTGGGCTGGATGCCTAGCACAGCACTGCGTGAAACAGGCTCGGTGCTACACATGGGTAATTCCAGCAGATGGGAGATAAGGGCAGGAGGGGCAGAAGTTCAGGGTCATCTTTGGCTACACAGTGAGTTTAAGGCCAGCCTGGGTTACATGAAACCAAGTCTCAAAAAGAGAAAAGTAACAATGAGTGAGGAAATATGGAACTAACTGAGCCGCCTTATGGAGTCAGTTCAATCAAAGGAAAATCAGGAAACACTTCTACAATGACCAGTGAACTCACATTTTAACAAGAAAAATTTAAATTAGCAAAGCATGTATGGATGAATAAAAGTTACTTTGACTCTCTAACTCTGGTTTTGAGGTGATTCTGGGCTATTCTGGAGGAAAGGGTTACTTAGAAAGGACTTCATACAAGGAAGTGAGATCTCAGCACAGCTCCCTCAGAGGCAAAGAGGAGTGAACGGGCCAGTCCGGAAATCTATTGGTGTCTCACAGAAAGGGTAAAACACAGGTGAGGTGGGGGGGGGGGCAGTGCGTGAATTCTAAAGCCACATGGGAGAGCACTCAGCGTTCTGTGAAGGGCTCAAGGGAAAAGCTGTACATGACCTCTGCTCCTCTCTTCCCAGAACACTGAGGAATTGCCAGAACCTGGTCCCCTGAGCATTCGTTCGCTAGCCCGACCTTCTCAACAGCATGCCACAGTGAGCCCAAATACTTACTATGTACCTTGGTGTTAGCACAGGGGTCTCAGACTGGAATGCCTGCCTAAGCTGGCAGAATCTACGTATCTGAGCCCCCAACTCTGTCATCAGTGACAAGATCTGTGATTGGTTATCCCGGCTTTAACAGGTGGGATGCTGGCATTTCGGAATTCTAACTGCAGTCCCCATAATCCCTTATCTTTGCAGTTCTTTCTGGTATGGAAGTCACTATAAATCTTGAGTACAAGGATCACCCAAAACAAATGGAGTCCCGCAGCTAAAACAGGAGAGAATTCCAATCTGCAAATTATAACTAAACCCTGACTTCTGAGAGACTGCTTACCTAGTTGGGTCTTTACAGCTCGTTGATGTTTTTTTGCTCCCACTATAAACAGGAAAGTGAGAGCAGAGGAGGGGAGGAGGCAATAATATTTCTAAAGTAAGACTGTAAAAAAAATAGGGGCCATGCTCCATGGGATGTGTGACTGCTCCTGCTTTGCAAGGCTTCACATAGAACAAACACATGCTTAAGGATTTCCCAGATTTAATTTTAAAAGACAGCAGCACAGACTACAAACCCACTCACAACGTGTTTCACTTTGTAAATGTCAACCGAGAAAGCAGGATGTGTGGGGACTTTACACCAGACCTGAAGTTGGACAGGCTCTGTACAGCACAGGTCTTAGAGCTAGTGGGACAGCCGAGGGCACAGGCTGGCGACTGTTACCCTGAGAGTCAGCCCCACCTCCAGTCTTCTCAGAGGCCATGTCCTGGAACAGACTTGCCCAGTAAACCTCCTTTACAGAACACAGGAAGAAAAGTGGTCAGGTGGCCACGGAGTTCTGAAGAACAGGTGCCTGCGGAGCTTGGGAGAGCGGGTAGCCAGAGTTCCAGAGAGCAGGAGATCCATCAAGGCTGGAGTTGGAAAGCGAGGGACACAGACCGGAAGTACTGCCCTGCCGTACCTGCAGCGCCAGGAATCTTCTGTAAGACTCATTTTCTGTAGCTTGAGACATGGATAACAGCAGCATCTTCCTCCCAGGGTGACGAAGGACAGGCTACTCACTGCCTTGGCCCACAGCAAAGACTTCTGCATGCCTCTTACAGATCCACACTGTATTGTGTGTCTCCCACTATCTGACTGGGCCTTTAGGGTAAGCGTGTGGATTCCCACAGCACAGACTCTCTCAAAAAGGAGAAAAGCACATTTGGAGGCTCATTAATCAACTTTAAATGGGCTCTCGTAAAAGAGGAAAAAAATAGGAAAATGAAAGCCAGATTCAAATACGCGAATTGGGGCTGGGGTGTCACTGTGTAGAACAGCATGTGGCTTTCCTGAGGTCTTGGGTTCCCTGTCTACAGTGCTACAATTCATAAACAATTATTTTAAATGCCTCACTGACTAGTCATTTTAAAGAAACACAAGAGAAAGGCTTAGTATGTAGTAACTATTCTTTTTTCACATTCTTTTTCTAGGAATGCATGGAGATTTTGTTGCCAAACTTAATTTTTAAGAGCATCCTTCCCTCCAGTCTTAGAATTTTTTTTAAAACTTAATTTTCTACATCGTAAAGGTTTATGTATTATTTACACAGCCACTTTATTATATATACTCATATACATATACATACCTACACACACATGTAAAAGAAACAGGAAGAAAGTTTCTCAGTTCAGAATCAACAGTTAACAAGCTGTGAAATCTAACTTTGTTATTGTAACCTTTTTTTAGGCAAAACCCAAAACCAAACCTACACACTCAAGACACATGCACACACTTAAACACTAAACCAATACATCACACACACACACACACACACACACACACACACACACACACACACACACACACGATTATTTTCCTAGAATCTGTCCCTCCAGCTTGTGGTTCCCCACCTCCAGTTGGAAATGAGTACCGTGCCTATTATGGTACCATGGCTGAGTCTCCAAGACTCTTACCTAAAGGAAAGAGGGCTGGTTAAGAACTTCTTGACTTCAGATTTTTCTGGGTTTTCTTACTAACTTGAGCCCAACTATGGTGAAGCTAAACTGAAAGGAGGCTAGGGTTCTCAGAGGAATGGTGGTAACAGGGTGTCTAATAAGCCAGCAAATGGTGCCTTGCTCAGCAGGGCAGTTTTGGGAGTGGAGGGAGAGAAACTCTATCAAGGAATTCAGGGTAAGGGAATAGTTTCACACAAAATGTATTTTCCTTATAGTTCATATTTTTGTAATTTATAACAGGCTCAACATTTTTATGGACAGGTTCGTTTCCAGGGAAGCTTCTCCACAGCTGCTAGAAATCTGTGTCTTTGAAAGGAATAACGGGTTTTATTACAATAGGAAAGTGACATCAGATTAGGATGCAGCTGCGAGACAGGGCTTATCTAATACTTGCAGTAGTGACAATTCACAGTAACCTGCCAATGTATCATCTAACTCTACAGCTCTGCTAAAAGACAATGACTATGGAGGGGTGACTATAAAGAAAGCTGCCTGTTATCTGAAACAGCTATTCCATATCCCTGGTCCAGCTGCCTGCTTCACCAATGATTCACGAGGCTATGCTGCTAGAAACCAGGCTCCTCTCGCCCAGGACTCCTCGGATAGGCTAATAACAAGGCCTGTTGGCAACCGCCTATTTATCTGTCCTCCCACTGCAGCCCATTGCTCCTTTAAACCCTTCAGTACCGTGGCCACTGTGAAGCCCCACATCACTGTCACAAAGGTGGCGGGGGGGACGGAACATCGCCACGTCCTTACTCTTTGCCTCTTTCACTTCTGTCATTGCCTGGTTTGTGCTCACCGATGAAGCTGAGTCAGTCCTTCATTGTCATATGCACACGAAAATGTCAGCAAGCCAACGAACGCTCTGCCCAAAGGTGTCCACCCTTAACGACGAACTGGTTTTAAAGAGATCCTAAATTGTGTGCGTTGGAATCTGTAACGTTGCTTTTTATTCCTACCACCGTTTTAAGGAATCGACTCTTCCTACATAGGGTAAATACTCTCCTATATTCTTCTTAGTTTTAAGAAGTGGGATTCATGGCTTTGTAATTCATTTTCTTTCCCTTATAATCCCATCTGGAATCACTCAGATGTAATCATGACATCAGGCTTCTGAAGTGTGGCTGTAACTTTCTACTTTTCTAACCAATGGTTCTTAAAAAAATCCCTGGAGAAGGACCCTTATACAACTTCATATTGCGACACATATGCAGAGGTGTTACACTGATTCTGTCACGGTAGAAAAAAAAAGGGGAATTCTTGATCTGAGCTGAGCTCACTCTCTGGTTGGTGTCCCTACCAAAGCACACTTTTAATGGAGGCAGGATGGCCTGGCTGAGAACTCACCAGGTGACAGGCACTGCTCAAAATACCTGATGTGGGTTAATTTATTCAGTTTCCTCAGCAACCCTGGGAGAGGAGTTGAGTATAAACTGCCCTTCCCCTTCTCCATAACAGAAAGCGATAGGCAAAGCCTGGCTGTAGTGAGATGTAGAACAGGGAAAATGACCAGCCCCTGTTACAATTTAGCAGAAAGAAACTGTCAAAGAAAAACATCAGTTTAACTTATGGATTAAAAGGTTTTTTTTCTAACAGTGTTTTTTTCCTTTTACTATTTTGTTTTCAAATTAAGCAAGCATTTATGTCCCTTTGTACTCAAGGTGAGTGTAAAGCACAAAAATTACAAGACTGTCATTGGCCTCAAGAAGTTACTCATCCTCCAGGGACACAACAG